TGGTTGAATTTTGGTACCTTACCCATACACATAAGTAACAAAATTCAACCTTTTTGTTTAATAAAAACATTATTAATTTTTGAATTAGGTCAACATCGACTGACAACGTTTATTTCCTTTAAAACATGATTTTGGTTAAAGTATTTGATTAACAAAATATACATACGAATTTTAATGTTTGCATGTAAAAACAAAAGCTAATTGAACAAAATTATGGTCATTTTTGAAATCGGCGTACCCAAATTACTCTGAAAAAGTTGTTGTACACCATGTGGCAAAGTTTCTGTCGACCAGTGTAATCTGAAAACATTAAAATAAAAAAAATTGAATTCAATTTTTGAACCTTATAACTCAAAAACTACTCTTAGATAAAATTGTTTATAATTTTTATACTTAAAATAACCCATTTTTGGGACACCCTGTGTATTGTCATAATTTTCAAAAAAATATATACCAGAATTCTAGTAATGACTTGTTTTGCAACGGGTATATTAGTAATAGAAATACAATATTTATCTATAATGGCGTTATTGGCCATTTGGTAAATCATTTTGTTGTACTAACAATTCATTTGTGTATGAAGGTTAATGGTTTATAAATAAATTAATGCTCGTACATTAACTTACAGACGCCTGTCCACAGACATATTATTTTGTGTAGTATTTTATGTTGTCTTTTATTTTCCTGCTAATAATATTTGACCAATAAATATATAAGTATGCACAAGACGGGGTTACACAAAAATTGCTTTAAAAATTTAATTAATTTATTTTTGATTTTACAACGTTACATTTCGTTTAAGGTCAAAAATATATGTAGCTCTTAAAAATTAAGTTTCAAAAATGTTTTAGAAAAGCAATAATCTCTTGGACTAAACAAAGAAATATTTGTTAAAATTTTTGGAAATTTACTAACCAATTCAAAAAATGCCAAAAAGTAAAAAAAATGCCTTTTTCGGATACAAACTCAAATCAACCGAAAAATTTATGAAATTCTGCCGTCATCCATTTTCACATAATGAAAAACCTAATGGTTTTTAAAATAATTTTTTTTGTTCCTTATTTCATTTAAATGTAAATGTAAAACGATCAGTAAAATTAAATCATATTTTTTACAAAAAATAAAAAAAACTGATTCATAAAAATATTCTTATTATTTTAAAGTTGTATGTTAAATCGAATAATAAAAATATATTTCAAATTTTTTTATAAAATTTGTTTTCAAAGAAATAATAAAAAATTTAAAATGATATAAAATTTGAATGATTTGAATTTTTTAAATAAAATTTGAAATTTGTCGATTCACTATGGTAAATAATAAATTGCACCAATTAAATTTATATTATATTTATTGGGGGCGCATGGGGCTGGTACGGCCGAGGAAAAAGTTATCTTTTTTTCGCAAACCTCAATTTAAATTCTGCTTGCGCAGAACTTGTTTATTTAATGTCATTATAAACTCATATAAATTTGGTGTGGGTCCCATATTTAATAACGGAGATATCGTTATACCCAAAATCCACCAACCCAACCTATTCTTGCTGGTCTCTGCTGGTACTTCCTGTTCATCTGTGTCCGAGTCTGCTATAAATCAGAAACTGCTGTATGCAATTATTGGCCCATTGTGCGAAACCCTTTCTTTAGTCTAGGAGCACGTTCGAAACTCGCATAATCTAGATACACTTCAAGTTTACCTTGCGAGTTCGATTTCTAGATATATAACTGGTGATTCATTTAGACATTTTTTTTTAAATTCTAAATAAAATGCATAAAATGGAATTGGATGGCGGAATCTTTATTATGACCTGAAAGAACAATCTTTGACATTTATTTTTTGAAAATAATTTCATTTAAATGCTGGCCGCGACTACGGCGTACGTGGTCCATTCGGAAGGTCCAATTTTCGATCACTCTTTCTAGCATTGCGACCGGTATCTGCCCAATTACGCGAGTAATGTTGGCTTCTTAGTCCTGAATCGTAGCTGGATTATCGACAATGACTTTTGATTTAACACACAGCGTGCGAACAATAGCTTTATTGAGAAATCATTACTCGGGTAATTGGACAGATACCGTTCGCAATGCTATAGCATTGCTTTCTATAGAAAGAGTGATCGAAAATTGGACCTTCCGAATGGACCACGCTGTACGCGGCCAGCATTTAAATGAAATTATTTAAAAAAATAAATGTCAAAGATCGTTCTTTCAGGTCATAATAAAGATTCCAACATCCAATTCCATTTTATGCGTTTTATTTAGAATTAAAAAAAAAGGTCTAAATGAACCCTTTACAAAGTTTAAATTTATCAATATGCATGGAATTTATCTTATCTGACTTTACCCCTATTTCTACAAGACACAACAATTTTAAATTAGAGTAATCATTTAACTCTACCTCTAAGGAATTAATTTTATCTGAACTTATAGTATTTACATTCAATAATAAGATATCAGGATTAAATATCAAGCACTGCTTTCCAATTTTTTTTATTATTTCTGGTCACCTGAAACCAATAAATATGTATTAACGTGTTAAATTTGGTGCGGTAATAACCAGAATTATTTGTTTAAAACTACACATTTATTTCCCTGCAATTGCGATTATTTGTAAACATGTCTGCCTTTGAAGAAGGAAACTTTGAAGTGGTAATTTTATACGAAACGTGAAAATCACTTAAGCATGTAGCAAGAACGTGGCAATCACCACCGCAATTATATAATCAAGGTTTGGGAAAAGTTCCGAAAACGTTGCCAAAACTTTACTACTACCCAAGTAGCACAAACGGTTAAATAACTAGTATTATAAGTAAATTAACCGAAATCTAAGTTAAATGACGTTTTTTTTAACTTGGATTTTTAACCAATTAGTTGAATTATATTATATATATACATTATAAACTAAAAAAAAACTAAAAAATTAACCAACTAGTTGCTATTACTTCAGAGTTAATTTAAAAGTTATTTTTTAATATAATTTAACTTTAAAACTAACTGATGAGTGAAACAATACTTCCAAGTTAAATAAATGGTTAATTTTTAGTTAATTGTAACTTTTAAAATAACCTTAATTTACCTTAGTTAATAAGTAGATTATTTTTTATATAACGTTATATTAACTTTAAATTTTAACCAATAAAACTGGTAAAGAGTAGTTAATTTTCTTGTTATATTTTGGTTCATTTTAACTATAAATTGAACCTTTAGGTAAGTTAACCACAGTTTTGGTTAATTTGACTATATTTTTTAACCAACAAGTTGCATTTTACCAAATGTATTTTAACTAAATGGTAAATTAACGTTAATCAACCAACTCGTTAAAAAAGTGATGGTTTTGCAGTTTTCATTGTTACCTACATAGAGAAATATGTACTATGTAAGGAATACTTGACATGTTAGGAACTTAAATAGGTACCAGAAATAAAGCCTCTTTATAAACTTTGAACGCCACACGATTGTCTATTTAGTACACACTGCAACGTTTTCCAGAACGTTCGGCGGGAATTTATTTTAGGTTAGTTATTTTGAAAATAACAAGTTAGTTTAACTTAACTAAATTTTGGTAATTTTTAACTATAATGTGTTAAATGTAACCAAATTGAAACCAAAACCAAAGAGTTATAAATTACTGATGGGTAAATAAAGTAGTTAACACAAGGAAATAACTAAAAGGTTTAAATAAACTTGCAGGTTAATTTATATTGGTTAAATAACCAATTAGTAAAAGCATCCTATAATCGCCATATTGCTTGCTGTTCATTTGACAAAGGGAAATGCCATTAATTTTTATTTTTGATTTTCGTTTCAAAAATAAGGTAATTTAAATAAACCAATAATAAAAAATAGTATTATTTTATGTTTAAAAGTATTTAGAATCAATTTTAAGTAAAACAAAAAATAAATAAGCAAAAAAAATATTGTTTTTAAATTTTATTTTCTTTATTTCTTATTCTTTTTTGAGCGCGTTTAAAATATAAAAGTATTATGAGCCATTTCATCAGAAAAAAAAATATGCCCCATTGGTTTTTCTTCTAGAACTACCTCTTTTAAATATTAAAATGAAGATATTAATATTCAGGGGAGACATTTTATTTAAAATCTTAAGACTCATAGATCTATGCATACTTGGTGTAGTATAATATACCTACTTGGTAAATTATAATTATATTAAGTTAAAATAAACTTAAAATGGTTGGTTTTTTCACTTTAGTTTAAGTTGACTAAAGAGTTAAAAAGCAGTCAAAAAGGGTAAAATTAACCAAAAATTACCAAATATTAACTTTTTTTAACCGACAGTTATATTAACCAAGAAGTTAAATTTACTTAACATAACGTTAAATTAACCATGATTTTTATTCCCCACTTATTACAAAATAACGTTAATTTAAGGTTAATTTAACGTTATAGTAATTGATAACTTAAGTAAATTAACCAGACAGAACGTAAATTTAACATTAATTTAACCACTTGTGCTACTTGGGTACTACCACTTTAAAGTAAAACATAAGTGATGTGATTTTGTTACAGTTACTATTCATAATCCACTCTAAAGTTTAGAAAACTTTAAGGTGGTGTCAAAAGTGGTCATAACATTTCAGATACCTACCAGACTAATACACCAAAAATTTATAAAACCATAAAGTATATTCTGCTGGTGCAAATCACATGATTACAACTATGCTAATATAATATGGAGATATTTTAACTGTATCGTGGTAGATTTAGTTATTTAAACGTTATTGCCACTCATTTGAAGTGGTGATTTCAGTTTTCGTGCTACTTGGGTAGAACCCGGCCGCTTAAAAAAATCTTGTCAACTATTTCGTCATTTAAAGTGTATAACATTTAACACAATAAACTATTAATATGCATATTCCATCAAAATCTACGAGGTGGTCCTACAAAACCTTAATTTAGAACATTTCCAGAACATGTTGGGGACTACTGGCGCATTGCTGAGCAATTTGGGTGGGGCGGTTTGAGGGGAGCTTTAAGCACGGTGGGGGTAGGGAGGGCATCTTCGAGGCGTTGAGCAGCGTCGCGGCGCCTGTAGCTTTTAGGACACCGTGAACCTCTGAACGCCTTCGGCAATCTACAGGTATGTTAGAAAGTGGTTTGAAGAAATTTACTAAAATTATAACATGTGTTTTTTGTTGTAAATGTGAGTTTTACATGTAGAAAATCTATTGTAAGTTGGCAGTACTAAATACTTTAACATTAACAAATAATTTTTTTTATTAACCGTTAAACTTGTTTTATATGCATTGCCTTATTTGTGTTGGTGCTACATATCGAAAATAGTTAATTTTGGTATTTTGCATGCAAAAATAGTGCGATTCGGTGATTTTCGGTTAGTGTCGGCAATTTAGTGACGTATGGGTATAACCTACAAATTAGTCTATAAATAGATCACTCTATTTTCGGTGTGATGGAGATGCAATCGAAATTTTGGGAAAGTGTATTATAATTATTTAATTGGGTTATAAAATATTTTTAAAATAATTTCACTTTGTCCTTGATGAGTTACATATGTTTGTAAACAATAGATTTTAAAATAAAATTAATTAACCTTTACTATATTTGTCATTGATTAATTTTTTAATATTATTATCGATTTTTAAATTGAAAATTCAACCTTGCTTTAGAGTCATTCCAAATAAAAACACCAAATGGGGTGCGCCACTTGATTTTTTATTTTGATAAAAAAATTGAGGATGATGTTTTAGGTTTCAAATATGAAAATCCGTTGCCGTTTTAATTTTTGGATTCTTTACTTTTAATCGGCACCCTTTAGAAATCTGAAATCGTGTCAATTTCTTACTCTCTTATAGTAGGCCAGAACTTTTTTTCTGTGACAAATACCTATTGAAATGATTTTAATTTTGTTTTACTGTTCAGTAAGTGTGTTTTCGATAAAAATTATTATTATCCAATTAGTTAATCTCATAAAAGAATGGTAAACCACTAAAGATTCATGATAATTTTTTGTGATTTTTGTCTGGCTCCTGTGCCTATTCTACTAAATCTAGAAAGTTATTTTGTTTCATGTTTCATGTATACATGATATATCAGGTACTTATACAATAGAAAACGTAACTATTATTTTAAGTTTCTAGACTATCATTTTCTTTATTATTGAAACTTGATAATTCTTAAAATTAGTAAATTTTGCCCTCAGAAATCATTATGTTGAGGAAAAAATAAAAATCTGAAACTTTCAGGAAATGTACTTACTACCACCTTCATCTTTTAAGTCCAGTTAGTCTTGTTTTCTTATTTTTATTCCTTTAAAAGATATATTAATTTTTTTAGAAGGTGGGGACTACATTTCCTAAAAGTTTCAGATTTTTATTTTTTCCTCAACATAATGATTTCTGAGGGCAAAATTGGCTAATTTTGAAAATTATCAAGTTTCAATAATTTTTTTAATAAAGAATATGATAGTCTAGAAACTTAAAATAATAGTTACGTTTTCTATTGTATAAGTACTTGATACCTGAAAAAAAAACAACTTTCCAGATTTAGCAGAATAGGCACAGGAGCCAGACAAAAATCACAAAAATTGGCAAATTATTACAAATCTTTAGTGGTTTACCATTCTTTTATGAGATGAACTAATTAGATAATAATAATTAATATTGAAAACATACTTACTAGGCAGTAAAATAAAATTACAATCATTTCAATAATTGCCACAGAAAAAAGTTTTAGCCTCTTATAAGAGAGTAAGAAAATGACACGATTTCAGGTTTTTAAAGGGTGCCGATTACAAATAAAGCAACTAAAAATTAAAACGGCAACGGTTTTTCATATATGATACCTAAAAGATCATCCTCAAATTTTTTCATTAAAATAAAAAATCATGCAGCGCACTTTTAAATTCATTTTTGGTATTTTCATTTGGATTGACTCTTTATGCATCACTGTAATGCAGCAACAATGAAACAGTGGATTTTTACTGATTGGCAGTGCATATTAACTATTTGCCGCAGTGATAAGTATACCACTAGCAATTAGTGAATACTTTTTCATGTAGCGTTTTCTTTGCATTAATTTATTTAGTGGAAATTACACTGTACAAATTAGTAAAATAGGTTTAGTGGTTATGATAACTAAGTTCAAAAAAGTTAAATTTCACTATTTTATGTCGAGAGTTCCGGAAAAGTGGTTATAATAAAAAACACTAATTTGAAGAAGTTAAAATTTCACTAATTTATATTGGAAAACACTAATTTTACAGTGATTAATACTGACTGACGGAAATAGTGAAAATCTCACTGTTTCACTTTTAGAGAGTAGATGTATTTTTACTGGTCAAGGAATTTTTGCGGCAATAAAGTTTTCTTAATTTTTTCCTGAATATTTTTAAAATATTAAAATATATTTTTTCTTTCTCTTATCACGTGATTTTTTTCTTACTTGAATTGCTTAATGGGTATCATTATATATTTCTCCAACAATCAGAATCAAACAAAGTAAATTTCATTTATTTCACTAAATGAATTAGTTAAGGCCTAAATACTTTATAAATACATAAATATTTATAATTTGCTGGAAACACGTAACCAACATAAATTCAACAAATTTCCAATTGTAAATAGCAGTGAATCTAGAACTGTAATTTGTATAAAAATAAAATATTAGTTTAAATAACAATTAAATGCAAGCGTAATCACTATTAACAAGTTATCAACTGATACAATACATACAATATTAGTTAATGTTTTTCAAATTTTATAAATACAATAAATAACCTCAATATATTTTAGAGGTTATTCTACATGTAAAAATAAATGAAAAAATGCCTCCTTGCTCTCTAAAAATGAATGAGCCAAAAATTACTAATTTAATAGTTATTAGTGGCTGCTTTTTCACTTATACCATGGTAAAGCATGGTATCCCCGACATAATAGCCAATTCTTATGTAAAATTTTCCCCTGAATCCGTCAAAAATTATTTCACTAAATTGAGATATAGTCAATTCCATATTAAATGGAAAATTGACTTTATCTCAAAAACTGTTCTACTTTTTTAACTTTTGACGGTATTCGGGACAATTTTACATAAGAATTGGTTGTTAAATTTTGGGATACCATGGTTTTTCAAGGTTAACCATGGTACAAGTGAAAAAGCAGCCACTAAAATCTATTAAATTAGCCATTTTTGACTGATTCATTTTTAGAGAGGGGGGGTCTATAGACATTTCGCAAAACGGTTATTGTTAAAATAATGATACGATATTTTTGGGCAAGAAATCATATAATGGTGTTAAATCGGATAAATGATGACCATAGGCGTCCGAAAGGGGGGCTACTCAGGGGAAAAGTCCTCCTAACTTTTTGTTGAATTTTCGATCTTAGAATAGGTTATTCACTCACGAATTTTACTCTTAAAATCTACTTAATTTAAATACAATGAGTTGAGATTGACAGCAAAAAGTAGATCATGTCGATAGCAAAATAGGAGTTAATGTTAAAATAAAAACGTACGAAATTTAATTTTAAATTTATGTAAGTGGACGTGTTGTTAGTTTGGAGATTATTTAAAAATAACATGAGCCAGCGCCGGCTTATGTGGGAGTTTTTAAATTTATTTAAAGATTTATAAGTTTATGTTTTATATTTATATTCGGTCGATATTTGCATTAAAGATTCAGTTTAAAGAATTTAAAAAATCACAAAACTATAAAACATCTACGCACGAAGTGACTTTTATGTACGGGGAGCTAGTTTACGTCCTTTTTAGTACAAACAATCTTGCATCTTTTAGTAGATACATTTTTAATAAGTAGCTTTATTATTTATTTAAAAGTATAAATATTTTCTTGATTTAAAGATACTGTAATATCTATTTTTGTTTTTATTATTTTCATATTTGTTTTTTTTTCTTCAAAATATTTAGTTTTTACAATATTGTTCTTGCTTGCAATATTAAAAATCATTATAATTTTTTGTATTGGGTATGTATTTCGAAAAGACAATATAAAACTCTCTTTTTTTTAATTACATATGTATTGAGTTATAAAGAAAACAAATATTTTTGATTTTCAGATTAAAATATTTATCAAATTTTTGGTGGTTTAGGGGTTTAAAACAACCAATAAAAATGAACAGACATATTTTTTGAGAAATCAAAATATTTTTTATTGCGTGGAATAGCGTTATAACCATTTTCTTTAAAATTAACATTTTGACAGTTTTTTAAATAAGATTTATTTAGTATTTTATCTACTCCCACATTGACGAGCTGTGACTTTATGGCGTTTTAGTCACGGGCTGAAGTTAGCTTTATTATAAATTGGGAAAAAGTGAGGTTAAATTCGGCTGGCAGTTGTCAAATTGTTAAAAAATAAAATTGGCTTTAAATTTTGTTTTGTGGTAGTCGTAGATAAAGTTTAGTATGCAACTCGTTTATAAACTTCTCTAGACACTTATTTTATTAAGTACTCGCTCGCAAGCTTGCTCGTGTCTAAATTAAATTCGTGTCTAAAATGGCGTTTATCAAACTTGATACATAATATACTATAACGTGCAGTTTTTAATTATAAATCTGATATCAAAAAAAGTTTGCAGTTTTTTTAAGATTGTTTTAAATTTTTGTACACTTTAAATTTTATTTTTTTATAATTTTTAAGTATACAGGGCGAGTCGGGAGGACAGTTAAAAATTTCAGGGGTGAATTATACGCTAAAGAAGTATCGCTAGTAGCGCCACCACTCGGCTGTTATCATCGTAACAAAAGTAGAACTTTTAATAATCAGCTGTCAAACGCTTGGGTTACAAACGAGTGTTTTTGATAATAAAGCCGGAAAATGTTAAAAAATATCGAAAAAAAAAACCGTGGATCGATTTGTTGTGTTGTTGGGTGTATTTCGAGAGGAAATCCTGGGTTGAGTTTTTACCGGTTTTCCAATAAACAGTGTTAATCTGAATGAAGAAATAAATTGCATACAGTCTCTGTAAATATAAATTGTACCTATTAGATACAATAAATACACATTTTAGTAGTGATTAACGTGAAAAGTGTAAACATTTCAATTCAGTAAAAAACGTAAAAGTTGTCTAAATTTAAACAGCATTTAGCATTATTAAAAGCGTT